ACTATATATGTAGTATAGGCGGCTACAGAGTATCTTGGTTTACATTTTTGGTTGGTGGTGTGCCGCGTGATTTTTTCAATTAAAAAAGTGTACCTTGGCTCAAAAGAGGTTGAAAAACACTGCTCTAGATTCACTATAGTCAGTGTCCAATTGTGACCGACATTGTGCAGACACACAAAACTGCATATGAAAATGCATTGTCATACAGCGACTGCACTAATGAATGAATTCCAAAGTTCCATCCAGCATTCATCACATTTGACAAAAAGTACTCTGATATACAGTGCCAAGAAATGCAGCACAGCAAATCTCACAGCTTTGTCTTTTTTTGCTGGAACATTGAATATTTTGTATATAATAAAACAAGTTTTATTTTCAGGTAAAGATAACTCGAGTAAATCAAAAATGCAATATACAAAAACACTGTCCTAACCAATTTGTCTCTATGGAAAATAGGCGATTTCCCCTTAGTACAGATTGTGCCATAACTGGTTTGTGTTTTTTTATCAGCAAGGGTATTGGTTTTGTTGGTACATTAACATTTACTATAAATGAAAAGAGTGAGCCCTGCAGTGCTTTAGATGTTGGTTCTTTTTTGTTGTTTGTAGTTCTGTTTATGGTTCTTCCTTATTCTAGAGGTCTGGAAATGATCAGGCCTGGGGGTGATGAGAGAAATTTCACTAGAAACGGGGTTAATCACAGCTCATTTACACTTTGTGCATGTCTCCATTTGTATTCCTTCTCCCGCAAATTATTACCTTGTCAAAGACACAATCTGCTGCATTTATCTGCAAGTACTTGGGAGCATGTTAGTCATGTCTGGATATCTAGAGAATATTTTTTTTTTGCCTGTTCTTATTTGCAAAATAGCTCAGGTTCTGCTAGAATGGAGATTAGTTTTTCCTCCACATTTCATGATTTGGATGGAGACTTTCTTTCAGCAGTTGTTTCAGTTTCTTTTTTGACACTGTGTTGAACAGTTCTCTTTAAAATCTTCTAAGCTTTATATCCTAACTTTATTTTAAACGTCTTTACAACTTCATCCCTAATCTGTCTACTGTGTTGCCATTTCTTTATGATGCTGTTTGTGCGCCAACATTCTCAGAGGCCTTCACAGAGCAGCTGGAACATTACAGAGATTAAGTTATTCACAAGTGCACTGTATTTACTAATGAGGAAACTTCTGAAAGGAATTGCTTGCTCTGGATGTTATTGAAGGGTATCAGAATGACGAATACATATTAATATTACACTTTCTGCTATGCCTTTGAGCAGACAGTTTTGACTCTAATCCTAAAAAATAATTTTGGAGGACTGTTTTATTTGTATACTAATTCCTAATCTACAAATAAATTAAAATGTTTAATTTCATGCTTTTCTCACCATGTAAATTCATTTTACTTTTGCTCTTTCCTCTCCATTTTCATTTCTTGTCCCTGTCAGGTGGACTGCTCCTTGTCACTGGTACGCCTGGGGAAGGAGCGGGAGATCCCGGGGCTGGAGCTCCTGGCTGATGACTTGGTCACCATGGAAACGCTGGTGTATGAGGCGTCATGTGAACTCAGCCTGACACTTAAAGATTTGCAGCAGCTCAGCGACATTGACAAACTGCGCCTGCTTATGAAAAACGTGAGTGACATTTTTTCATAGTGGGGGCTCTTTTTTTTATATAATATACTTTAATGTGAAAAGTAGGACTGAATTTATCTTTTTCTTGCGATGAGCCTTGATTCAAAACGGGTACTCTCGTTTTGGTTGCGCTAAATCATCCTAGGAGATGATTTGGCGCGTGTTCTTATAGCTGACATGAAAGCGTAATATATTATGCAGTTCAAAATGAGAACAAAAACCTATTCGATGTTAATGAACTTCTAAAATCATCTAAATTAGACTTCATTGTTCACAATGGAAAAAGGAAAAAGTTTCTGACTTTGAAAATATATTTAATGACGGCCACAAATTCCTGAAATCCCTGGCATTTAACGATGCAAACTTGCTTTCCAACCGCAGCAAGAGAGCTATGAAAGCTATTCTATTGCAAGTACTACAGTTACAAGTCCCCTTGGAGTACATGATATGAGCTGTCCTGTAAATTGTAGCTAATAACTGCCAGCTTTAGCCTGTAAGGACCATTGGCAATGGGATCTGCCACACAGGCAGGCAGCCAGCAAATGTTGTTGACTGCACTAATACATGCTGTTTGACTGGAACTCCCTTTGGGCTCTCATCGGATATACGAGTGTGTGTGTGTTTGTAACTGTTTACCAAACTGGCTAGATTACATCTCCCTCTCTGCTGGTGTCTGATGTCTTTCTTTTCAGAGACGCATCACAGCGAAGCAAAACGTGCGTGGGTGTGTTAGCTTGCGATTGTGATCTAATTTTGTTTTGAATCTCATTTTTTTTCTGCGAATACGTTCTCATCGGTACATTGGGAGTCAGGGTTGTCGCAAGGTGAGGGCAAGGCTCTCTGAAGAGCTTAGCATCTACGTTTGCACACCACTGCAGTACCCACATGCTGCAGCAATTACAGTTTAAGTTCAGGTTTAATTGCACGCCTATGTTTTATGTAAATGCTCTTTGAAGTGCTCCACTATGTCCAGAAAAGTAAACTACGGAAATCATGAAATAGATACATGCAAACCAGTGTACATTCTTTTCCATCACACAATCTTAAACATCTTATTTGTTGTAAATATTTATCCGACATGAAAAGGATCAGAGACATCCAACTGATGTCTCAGTTGGACATCAGTTGGGTTGCTACACAGAAGGGGAAAAATATGGGACTTGATCAAAGCTTATTTTTAGGTTTCATTATTTTATAAAGTTTGAAAAAACATCTGTCCATCCATCTATCAGTTTGTCTGTCTTCCAACTATCCGACCATCAATTAATCTGTCAAGTCATCAGTTTGTCCGTTTGACCATATATTCATCTGTATGTCCATCCTTTTATCTATCCATCCATGCATTCAACCTTCAGTCTATCTGTCCATGCATCCAATCATCCATTCATAAAGCCGTCTCTTTGTCCCTCTATCTCTCTGTCTGTCACATTTGTTCATGCAGCATTGTGTAATATTGGACCCTGATCATAAAGTAACATCATCGATGACTGACGATATATATATATAAAAAAAAAAAAATGAGACAAGTTGTGCATTGATTTGCATCAGCAAATCTTACTTTTTTATGTTTAACTTATGTATATTTTTGTCCCATTATAATATTAAGGAAAACCAATGAATACAATCTTTTTCTTCTGTTTCTTTTCGTTTACAGTCGAATCCTGAGCGCTACGCGAAAGATGCCTTCCAGTGGATGGTGCCATTCTTGCACCGCTGTGAGGGACACTGCGAAGGCGCTGCCAAGTCTCTGCTTGCAAACTACCTGGTCAGCCTGGGCCAGCAAGACCTCACTCTGCCTCTCATCATTTTCCAGCACTCTAAGCCTGTCGTAAGTATCCCAAAACTCACACACATGCTGCGCTTGGTTTATGCCAGGGACAATGTTTTTGGTCGCGTTATAAATGATAAACCATAAGCCACTGGCATGGGCAGGCTTCTTGTGTTTCATAGAAGGTACAAATCATGCACATATATGCTATAAAGAAAGACGATGGGTAGACTGTCGCTTTAGCTTTAAGGTAAATTAATTATGGATGCACGTCGACATGCAGACTCCTTTGTCATCTTCTTCAGTGCCATCAGAAGATTGTTGGAGACCCAGACCAGCTGATGGAGGTAGCCCTGGAGTGCATCTACAGCTGCGAGAGAGACGACCAGCTCAGCCTCTGTTACGACATTCTGGAGTGTCTTCCCCAAAGGGGCTATGGGTCAGACATACACGCATCACCATACACCGATACTCAAAGTCAGCTGGTCAGATATTTACTGCTCTGAAAATGACAGCATCGATCTTCTTCTTGATTTTGTTAGCCGTGGTTTCAGGATGCTAAAGAAGTTGATCACTGCCTTGTCCACGAAAATACAATAATCCCAATTCCCACATCATCTCTCCTTTCATTCCAACCTCCCAGCTCTCCTTGGACCTATAAATAAACCCAAGTACCCCCTCTCTGTTTCTGTTTCTCCTCCCTTTGAGCCTATATTTTCCTCCTCCTTCCCGCTTACAGGTCCAACTTGCACTCCAAAGAGCCATCAGTCAACCCTGCTACAGTTCGAATATTATTTCCTACCCTTTCCCATTGCTCAGTCTTTTTCTCTGTACGCCTCTTCAGTTGCGCATTTTATTGCATATGACACGAGGGCCGGCCTGGCGAGTTTCCCATGAGACTGTGTGGGTTTGCAGCACATTTAAAAGTGACTGAGTGGTCTTAAGAGAGAAAATCATTGATAAAGTGGACATGTGGACTCCTTGAATAGCTGAAATCAAATGAAATTGTTCAAAAAAATCAGCCTTGATTGTAGAAATAAATTACCATTGTGACAGTACTCAGGCGGCTGCATGACGGGAACCTGAACTTTCAACAGTTGCACATTTTGCTCTTTTCATCTGTCTCACTTTAGCTCCACTGTGGCACTCCATGCTGGGAGTTTATGCTTTTCTATTGCACACTCGCCACAGGGAATAACTGCACTGAAACGAGAGACACTATAATTGGTTTGGAGCAGGGGTCTCTTTTAATCAGTGTTTAATATCGTGATAATCTGACCAAATTTATTGCATTTATTTTTATGAAAAGTGACTGCTTTGGCTAGAGGGTTTGTTTTGGTGTTGTCCGATACATGAGTGTAATATTAGGAGAAATCCTTTGGAGAGTTTTGTCAGATTTGCTACAAATATCCACTTTGACCTGTTGATGAATAACAATTATTTGATATATTGCCTCACAAACTTTAAACTGTCTCACGTTATGATACATTACAGCTATAAACTTTCATGTTTTTTTTTATTTTTTTTTATTAGGTTTTTATTTGATAGTTTTAACTCAGCAGAGCTGAATACAGGTTCTCTGCATTTGTATTCTTTGTTAACCCCTTAAAACAATAATAATTAATCCACTTCTTCATAATTATACACTACCTTGTCTTGGTCTGTCACATAAAATGCCAATAAAATATATTGAAGCGTGAGAAAACATAATAAGCAGTTTAAAAGGAATTAATCATTTTAATAATTTTAACATTGCAAATGTTAAAATTATAGTTTGCTGTCACATCAGTTATTGAGTCTCTTACAGCAGTGATAACTCACATAATAACAATGGTGTTAAAATTTGCATTTTTAAATCAAATCCATCTAGTTAAAATAGAAAACTCGGACCACAAATGGTAAGAATCACCATCAACTCAGACCAAGAGCGCTGGGTGAAATTTTGAAGCTCAAACTTTACCAGGATAAGGTCACATGATCAGTTGTCAGTCTAAATATGATTCACTATGCCAATTTCCTGTATAAACTCCTCCTGAAACACAGATCGTAGCACCATCCTACTGTCATGTTTGTCACCAATCCGCCAAGATGCCTGACTTTGAACCCCACTTGGCACAGTTCAAATTCTTAGCCGTCTATGAAAAAGAAAGCTAAGTGCATTAAAGCCTTCGTCTGCTTTAGTTTTTCCTCTGTTATGTTTAACTATTCAGAAAGATTAGTGGTTAGGTGACAAAAGAAGAAGATGCTGTAAAGCAGAGCAGCTTTTAAGCGTTTACAGCAATTATATTTTGAGACATTAATGTTTTATATTACTTCAGCTATACTGGAATTTGACCAGGTATGGAATAAATATTGAGCAGAAATGTTTTGTTATAGTGTTGCTATACAGTTCTTTTAATTCATTTTATAGTACTTTTATGGTGGAGAAAATGGCTCAGTGATTTATATGCTGTGGCATTTAGATTAGAAGAAATTGTGAGGCCGGCGTGTACGTGCAACAGCCTAAACTTAACTTTTCTCCTGGGAGGGATTTTTCTAACTTATTAAGCTCCCTGCCCTACATAGAATGATGCACCTTTGTGAACCAAGATAGAAACCGTTACTTAGCTGCTCCAGCTCAGGTTTTCTAATCTGTGACTCTGGCTAATTAAGTCTAAATCTTCTAACATAATTTGCCTTTCCTCTTGGCTAGAATAAAACGTAGGAATGAACAAGACATTAGTGAATCAGGGACATAAATTGCAGGAAAAGTAGATGTTGAGGGCTAAAAGTCAGAGCTAAGACGACGAAAGCAGAGAAATGGGTTAAAATTGTCAAGAATTTGTTTGTGATTGGTGGGATAGAAAGGCAAATTTACACATGGTTTATTTTATCATGGCCAGTACTCTGTAGGGGAACCGGCCAACCTGGTCCAGAATGCTTTGCCTCGAGCCAAAGCATCAATGGGGTTGTATTTTTGGTAGGGAATCAATGGAGGTTTACAAACCCAAAGTGTGCATCTTGATTATGCAATCTACTATTTATTTTGTGCTCCGTTTTACTGATTAAAAACTTTTTTTTTTTTTCTGTTTTATTGCTTTACAGACCAGAGACAGAAATCACAGGATCACTCCATGACAAGGTGGACAAACTTGAAAAGCATCTAAGGTATTTTTGCTCTTTATCTAGCACCTCTGTTTTTGTCCACTTTGCAGATGTAGGAATAGATTAGTTTAACAGTATGTATCCACAGGCTCTAAAAGTTATATATCATAATTTGTGCAGCCTTTTCCTTTCCAGAAATATGTAATTATGCAGTAGTGCTAAGGCAATTTCTAATCTATGCAAATTACAATTCCAATTTTCATTTCTTTTTACATTAATTTTTTTTTTTGTATGTATTTGGGATTTTTAAGTGAATAAAACAGGATTGTCTGTCGTTCTTTATCCTAATCTCTTCCACAGCTGCTATTTAAAATTCCCTCAACAACTTGTAAGGTGTTTCTGTTCTATCATTAGTGATCTATTACTTGGGAAACTATCGTTGTAGACAAATTGATAAATAATTTAGTGTTCTGACTTCACAGCAACCACCAAAAAAGAGGAGACACAAATGCGCACTCAGCTCACTCACTCTCTCCGTATCAAAGGATCATCGACATTCCCAGTGGGTTAAAAACGCCCCAAGCGTTGGATCTATTGCGTTTTTTTTCTTTTTTTCCTCCCTTTGGCTCTCATGGGTGCACTTGGAAAAACAGTAATGATGAAGGTGAAGATGGGGGATAATGATGAAGCCGGGAAGAGGGCAGTAGCCTGATAGGAATCCCAACAAATAGGGTGATAATAAAGAAGGGAATGAACTAGCTAGCTGTGAGAAAGCTAATGTTGAGGCTAAGTTTTTGTCCTCTACGTAGTTTATATGCAAGAATCAACAACCTCAGGGACACCTCAGGGAGCTTGCTGATTGTGTTTATTGCCGTGCCACGCTGAAGTTATGTGACTCATACCGCAGATGAATCAAGCAGCAAATGCCAAGTGTTTGCCCTCCGAGGACTACCGTAATAAAGGCTGGCTACGGTCGCTGCCACTGCCACTAACTTGCACATTACCCTCACAGAGTTGTAAATTTCAAGCCTTGCTGTTTTTCTTTCACTCACACACATGCGTTACAAGTGCAAGCCCTCACACGTTCGCAGGCACCTGTTTGCTATATTAATGAGCTGCGGTGGAGATCGAACATCTGTAGCAGCACGACCCTGTTGAGACGGGAAGGGGCGCCGCGCTAATCCGTCACCAACACCTAGCCGCTCCCTTGGTCACATAAAACAGCTGTCAGTGTGTGTTGCACACAGACACACACTTAAAAATCAGTGCTGTCTCTGTGACATGCACTTTATCTTGTTGTTCTTCTGACTAGAACTGTGCTTTCTCCATCTGCACTGTGTCTTACAAATGACTCTGTGCTGCCAAAATAACGAACAACTTAGATTCTACCCGTCTTCCTGTGGATTGTGCTGGTTTTTACTTTGTTGTCTTTGTTCTTTATTTAGTTTGGCTTTTCCAACTGTGACTTCTTCTCATCGTTATTGCTGCTTTATTAAATACGCTATAGGAAAATGTTTGTGCGGCTTTGTTCTTTAAGGTATGGTAACTCATCTGAAATCCCTTGATTTATTTTTACTCATTAGACTAAAAATGGCAGATCATGAATACAGAATGCTTCTGACAGAAATGTGGAGAGACTTGATTTAGTAGGATGTTAATTGCAAATATTACAGCTCATTATATCTTAGGTGTAAATAACATCAACATTGCATCAGGGTTTCTACTCAGTGTTAAAGTCTGGGAAAGGATGGACTTTATTGTGTTTTTCAGATGTTTAAAAGTATGAAAAATGGGGAAAAAATTAGTACTTTGGAAAATCGAGCCTCAAAATGTAACTTGATTTAAAATTTGAATTGAAATAAAATATTACAGAAGAGAAAGTAAAGGTTCATTTTATTTATCCATTTTCTTCAGCAGCACTACATTCAAAATTAAAAAAGTAGCACAAATTGACTGGGTCTGGAATTCAAAGAGTAAGACGTGGTCTTTGGTGCCTTCCTACAATGTTGTCTTTAGAAGGAAGTGATGAGTGACTTTATCTTAAAAAAGTCACTCGTCTCCAAGTTTTTGAATGTATGATTTTCTTGTAAACCTGATACTGTTTGCTCGGCAGTGTGGTGGAAGTTTTGGAGAAGCATGGCCTCCAGAAGCCCATCTCCTACGTGAAGAACAGCCAGAACAGTAAGGAGGAGGCCCACCAACTAATGGTCAAGCTGTGCCGTCACACCGGCCGCAAGTATGAGCTCAGAATGAAATGTCTTCATGAATGTGAAACTGACACAACAAACGTCTGAGTATGTTGAATATTTTGTGTGTTGCATTCAGGAACCCTCCAGTCAGTGCGTCGGTGTGGAAAGCTCTCCTGAAGGACCTGCTTGATATGCAGCAGAACGTTTACACTTGCCTAGAATCAGAGACGTGCCATCAGGTATCAACAAGCAGCAAATTCGCAAAAGAATACCCCGTTTAAGTTCTTGTGCGAAATCGTGCAGTTCAATACCCTAAACACTGACATTTACAGTTCTCGTTCAACAAAGACAGATATAATTTCCGCATCACTTCTCCTTATATTTTCTGACTCTGGCAGATTTTTGTCGAGTCCCTGCTGTGCTCAAGCCGTGTGGAGAACGTACGCCTGGCAGGGCAGCTTATGCATTGCTCCGCGGTATGTTGACTAAAACCTTCCTTGACACGGTGCTGCTACCCCTACTGGGTTCTCCAATCATTAAGCCGCTTATAATAAATTTCCATTCTCATTGATCTTTCTGCACTTTTATTCATGTTTCCAGGTGAATCAGGATGTTCCCGTTAGCTTGTCTTTCCGGGGAAAGGGTCACACTCTGAAGGTGGCCTACAACAGCAGCGTGGAGTTGGTTTTGGCTGCTGCCAGGGAGTACTTCAACTCCTCCACAGCACTAACAGATCCCTGCATGGGGCTGGCCAGGTAAGGAAGACTAGGAGTAGCTGTATTTCCATACAAAATGACCACTTGAACAATAACTCTTTTGCCAATTCTTACTTGGCATGAATTAGACATAATTCAAGTGAAACAATTCAAATTTTGAAGTATGAGCCTGTTTTTCATACCATCTATTGTGTTGTCATAGAGATTCAGAGATGGCAAAAAAAAAAAAAATTAAATTAATCAAATCTCTATAATGTTACCTAAATGTGTCATTAATTATATTAAATGTAGATAAATAGAAATACTTATTATATAAGATATTTAGTGGTTGCATGGTGCAATACATAAATTTATTTGCTCTATTAGACACACCGTGTCATTCCCTTTGGGCAGGGCTAATACTGCTTTAATCAAAAATAATTGTCCTGAAATTGACTTGCTATGAGGTTAACCAATCAGGTGTTGGTGACAGTTTAATGGATCAGTTTTCACTATAGAGCTACACCACATTGCAAATGCATATTTTTTTTAGATTATTTAGATATTGGACAAATTGTTGTAGTTACAAAATGTTATTTCCTTTTTTTTATTTGCGATTGACATATTAAAATATATTTTTGTATTTAATGTTTGTTGTGGTATTTTTGGCTTTTGTTGTCCCGTTTGACCTATTTTTTTTTCCTGTTGTATCCCCTTTTAAAAAATGAAGTTTAAAAAAAACAGTCACTGTTGGTGTCTGCTTTCATTTTATCTTCTGTTGTGTGCTACATGAAGATTTTGTATTTGTGTTTCTTGCTGGCTTCAGATCTTAGTGGGGGGCCGCTGGATGTCTAATCTCACCGTCTGTTCCTAGTGGGGAAGTGGGACAGTAATTGGGTCGTCATTCATTTATAGTAACTAATACGGAGGCCCCCCTCCGCACACTTGGACAGCATCATCCATTGTGACACTCCCACCATGTGAGCATGTGCGTCTGTGCATATGTGTGTTTGTTGTTGTGTATGAGTAAAAGGGAGAAGAAGCGTATTAACTGGTGTGTGTTACTAGGGAGATCAATCGCCAGAGTTTCACATGGGACATTTTGGGAGTTTTGAGACTGACGGAAATCTTGTTTATTACAAAATGAACTGCTTCAGTTTTTTAATGGCAGAAATTTCCATGGAGCCGTTATGACGTAGTCTGTTGAAATGCACTTAAATGAAACATTAATGGAAATTTGCAAAAACCCTATTTGCACTGTCAGCAAGCTATAAAGTATGCAAAAAATAAATAAAAATAAGTCCAGATTTAAACTTGTTGGCCTCATGTGCGTATATCAAAATTTGAGTACAGTTTGTACAATTTACTTTCCTGTGTCCTTACAGATAAAGAGCACAGAGCTTCCCCTTTTCAATCTTGAATTAACTGACAAACCTCTAAGACTAGATTTATTTCTGTATCTTGTTTTGTTCTCTTTTATGTTGTTGCTTAATCTTCAGTGTAAAACAGATCTAACAACTTACTGTCTGTTGTGCTTTAGATAAAAGAAAGAGCTGTTAAAATCTACTGCGGGGAAAAAAAAAAGCCAGACACAATTCAGCAACCATTAAGTTGTTGTCAGCAAAGCATCTCTGTTGTGTCTGAGAAAACTCATCTCTGTTTTTGTTAGGAGGGGAAAAAATAAAGAAAACAAACATACAGGGAAAAGAAAAAAAAACAAAAAAACATTTGCTACATTGCCCGTCTTTATTCCATGAAAGGAAATGTCAATATTTTTGCTTCTGTTTCAAAGATAAATTGAACAGAATTGTTAAGTTAAATATTTTATAAATGTTGCACAAAATAATCTGAAAATGATGGTCTAGGTGGAATAAACCACCTAGACTGTTTCCTATTGGCTCCGTCAGTACACACGCTTCCAAATCCTTCACGACCTAAGTACATAATCAACATGTCCTTTTTCAGTTTTTCTTTCACCCATCTGCGGCCCTTTCCTCTGCTTCTATCCTTGCCAGGACAAACCTCTTCTTCCTGGCAGGAACATTTTCATCTTGCTTAAGAGCAGGTGAAGCTGTGTGGAGGGTTTATGCAGTCTACTGAGTACTTATCTGCAGTATTTTTTTTAGGATGTTTTGGTCTCATTATGCTTTATTGGATAAATTACTGCACACGTATACGAAGGGCAAGCCGATCCTCTCCATATACACAGATGTAAGATCTGTACTCTCAGCTTGGGAATGTACGTTAAATTTATCATTTTGCCTTGTTTTTTTTTTTGTTTTGTTTTGTTTTTTTTTTTGTCCCAGACCTTGTTGGTTTATTTATTTTCTAAAGTAAACTTGCATCTTGCTCACTTGCTCATTCAGCACACTGTTTTATATTCTAAGTGCTATGCTGCATAATCCTCTTAAGGATAATGAGTGTGGATTGTATTCCAAGAGAAACTCTGCTGTTGTGGATCCGTCAAATTAGTCTAGACTTTGTAAATAAATCCATTTTAGAAACCTTGTCACATTTCTGTTTGCACTGCTGAACTCTGGAAACTTCAGGCTTAATAGTATTTAGTGCTAACTGGAATAAAGAAAATCCATTTAGTCTCCTTCATTTTAATCTGTTTGTGAGGTTTGAATAAACATAAGTGGGCATAGTCCTCATGTGGCGATAACCTTGAATAAAAATGTTATTGTGTCAGACGGGTTTGAACAGGACATCGACATTTATTTCTTGTGCTTCTGCTGAAGTAATGAGTGATTATTACTATCTTATTAATGTTATCTGTAACATTTGTTTTGTTACCTAGATCTGAAAACAAAACAACTTGGTATAGAATTCCTGATAAGGAAATTCACATAGATTTTAAGGGCTTCTTATGTTGATTTGTGTACCATTTTCTGTTCTGGTCTTTACAAAGTGACATGTGTAATAAGCTGATAATAGCTGGTAAATAATTTGTTCCAGTGGCCACCCAGTAGACAGCTGCTTGAAACCCAGATCTCACCACTTATGCATCCTTTCCCAATATATTGCTTAGTTTTGGCTGTAGTAATAATAATAACAATAACAATAATAATAATAATAATAATAATAATAATAATAAAATATCAGTTAAAAACAACAGAACAAGCAACCATGGACCCAGAAGACCAGAGACGGGAACAGATTGCTCTAAAACGTGCAAACAAACTGGAAAAATGGAAAAAAAAAAAAAAAAGTCTGAAAATTACAAATGTTGGTTTAATTTCTTCAAAAATGTAAAATGTACAAATGACGAGAAGTGTAATATCAGTACGATAAAAAATAGTTTTAGTGTGGTAGGTGTCTCCCTTTTAGTTTTGCTACATTGCCGGGGGGGTTTTTTGCAATTGAAAACATTTCGAAGCAGCTAAATGTCTCGTTTTTTTTTTTCACTTAGCTCACTGCAAGTGCACTGCAACATGTGGAGGAGCAAGAGAAAGCTCAAGTCAATCCAGCGATCTGATTTATTCTAGGTAACGTCTTTTGTATTAATTGACTGTTCTCTTCCTTAGGGCATGTCTCCAACTGATCACCGACTGTCCTCCAGCCATCCAGGAGGAACTGGACCTCATCAGTGCTCTCAGTCAACTGGAGGACTTCAGCGTTCGCATTCTCCCGCTGCAAGGTGGTACACAACGCGCTTTTCCATTAAATATCCTGAGAGGCAAACCTGTCTAAAATGTTACTCTTCACCTCCCTAACACATAAACGATAAAACCTGTCTCCCACCATGCATCACCCTTCCGTATGTTTCTCCTTCTTGTCTCCATAGCTAAATATATGGTTGTTTATGGATCAAGTGTTGAGCAAACATCTGCCCGATGGCCTAATTAGGATCAGAGTTTTATGTCTGTATGTGCATCCTCTCTCATATCGTTTCTGAAATGTCTGCTTCAGGTGTAAACCTGACCGTTCTGTATTCATCTCTGCACTCGGTCTTGTGGGAACAGTTGCTTCCAGGCATTTCCTCCTGTTAAATAAAGCAGATGAGGCAGAATGGCATATTGTCAGGCTTAAAATTCAGCATTCAAGGTTTACAGCTCTGAATTTTTATAAATTTTCTTTACCTGGTTGTTAGTTAAAAACAGGTGAATGAAAACATTGCTCATTGCGCTGGAGGTTTTTACTTCCAGTTTGTGCTATAATTTATGTTCTCTTTGTTTTGCACAACATCTCTTAAGTTCAATGAGGTTCTCATGCACGTCTTATATTCAAGTTTCTCATCACAGCAGGAAATCTAAATCTTAACTGGGTCATTGCATCGCCTTAATTCTTTTCTTTTAGAGACAGTTTGACGAACTTTTATCGCTGCGCACAGGATCACTGTTCTGTTGCATGACCCAGTTCAGCCAATGTTCCCTTACTGGGCTGGTGGCCTCAGGTTTGACTCCAGAGTGCAATACAGAGTTAGTGGATGACTTAATTTCCCCTTTCACACATTTTCATGTTTAAAAAATTGCCCAAATCATCTTTAGTGTGTGATGTAAGAAGGTAAGGAGGTGGAGTGGTGGTGTAAAAGTTTCTAAATTGCTGATATGCTTAAGAGTAAGACAAAAAAGATGGTGTGGATTTGTGAAATAGGATGCAGTGTATCCTATTAACCAGTTGTTAATAGGAGTTACCCAGTTGTTACTCAGCTCATTTTACACCAGCATGTCTTACTTTAATGTTTACCTGAACAAGTTTGGTACTACTTGTATGCATGTGTAGTGAAATAAGTTGCTGTTAGTACTGAGAGACCACATTACTAGCTTTCTGTTGCCAAAAAAAAAAAAAAAAAAAAAATCTGATAATGGTTTGAATTTGAATTGGACTGCAGCAGGAGGGGTTTGCACAACTGTGTGTATATTTATATTTCAAGCTCACAAAATTAGGCTTAGTGATTAGTCGTGATTAATCACAGCGCCAGAGTGTGATTAATCTGATTACTTTTTAATTGATTGACAGGGTTAGGGTGAATATAAATGTACATCACATTTTGATTTTAGATTTTCATTTGAAATTATCTTTGTTTTTCTTCCTTGTTTTGCTGCATCACATCAAATCCTGGAGCTTGTGGTTGTTACATGACTAATTTTTCAAGGGAGGTTGAATAGATTTGCAAGCCACTGCAGATAGTAAAATGACTCATACAGATGAGAAGCAGGATGTGCGTCTGTGGAGCCACTGCTGATGTTTTTTTTTTTTTTCCTTTTCTATTTTTGCAGTCTGTCAACACACAGCTGAATGCTCCAGACCTGTTAACTGACAAAGAGCTCTGCTTTCAGAGAACTGCTCACACTTCTGGACAATTATATAATCAAGAGCAGCAACTGTTCGCTTTTATTGCCAGAGTGATCGTGTTTTTTTTTTTTTTTTGTAAATAGACCAAATTCAAGAGGAAATAGTGGAGGTTATCGTATTTGTTTTACAACCAAATGTTGACTTTTTTATTTTATTTTTTTTACATGCGTAAAACAAATACAGTCATAACACTGAAATGGCATGCACCTGCTTTTTTAGGACTGTAAAACTACTGCTACGGTCACCATCATTTTATTTTCCACATCAACTTAGAGACTGGAAGACGGACAAAACGCCTTAGCACAACAAAATTCTAGCGAAGAGAAAACTCAACTTATTGATTTTATTTGACATTAGTGATCGTCTGAACTACATTTTTACTCCTCAGGGCCAAAGCTGTTTTCCCCACTGTACTCTGGTATCATTTTATTGCACTCTTTCAAGGACACGGTACTTTTTTTTTCCTGCATCTCTCTCACTTCCTCTCTCTATCTCTTTTTTTCTCACACACACACTGAAAGAATAGCACATTATTTTTCTTAAAGTGTACAAGCCGTATCCCTGCTACAATGCTCTGTAGCAGATAAACGCACACAAGTATGAAGCCGAAGCATTTGAACATATGTAATCCATCTCAAGCTTTTTTTTTTTTTTTTCCCTCAGCCTTTCTACAGAGCCTAAGGCAATGCCTCATACAGCCTCTCTCTCCCCAGAATTCCCTCTAGGCCTTGCCCAAAGTGATGCCAACTTTTAAAGATCCTCAGAGGGGAGCAAATAATTCACAGGGCTTTGCTGAGTTTCTAAACTTGACATGTTTCAGTGCAGGGTTGGAGAAATGTGGAAACAGAATTGGGGAATTTGTGCATCGTAAAGTTAGTTTTGTATGGAAAATATTTTCACAAAAAAAAAAAAAAACTGGCAGTTTAGGTAGTGAAATCACTGTTGATCTACAGTAAAGTTTAAATAACGTTTTCTCTTTTGTATTATTAATTACTTTAGAACCCTTAACATTATGCGTCTCAACAGTGTTTACTTGTAAAAACAAAAGTTGCAAGATAGATGAGGATTACCTTGCAATTCTTTCATTTTGTGTAGAATACAGAACTACAGGTCTTTAAACTAACTGAGCTTTTTTGTTTATCCTTAGACTTAAAACGTCTGACTCTGCAGGTCAGACTTCAGAAGTTGCAGATATTGGTCAGGAAAAGCCTGATCAGCGCATCTCTTGTTTATGTATGTTTTTGTTTTACTATTAGCTTAAACTTATTTTAATTTGATCTCTCCTTATTCTAAAGCGACTATGCAGAAAACAGTTAATGCTATTACTGATGACTTAAAATACATTCTCTATAGTTTTTTTTTTTTTTGCATTTATTATGTTCGACTTTATTTTCCTGACATGTTCATAGCAGCTTCATCGTTCATTTCACACAATTTCCTGTTATTGAATCATCAGCTGATCGTTTCTTTCTCTTCTTTTCGTCCCTCCAGTGCGACTGCGATCAAACCGCTTATCTCTCATCGAAGAGTGCATCGCCCAGTGCTCCACAGCTTACAAACAATCCGCCACGTTGCTCAACCTGGCCTCACTTCTGCGAGTGTCAGGTACACGCAAAGTCACCTCTTTTGCTTTTCGAGCGTGATCGTGCTGAAAAGGGACGGTGGGTAAACTTTAGTGATCAAGACTGTCCTGCTGGCGTTTTGTGTGACGCTGCTTTTAAGATGAAACGAGATACGTACAGCAGAGTCCGACCTAGATGCACAATGATGCATGCATGCATGGGTGCTTTTAGCAAGGTTGCTGACAGTTCTCACACAGCAGAGGAACAAGACGAGTGTTTCAGGTTTCAAGCAAGGATCGATTCTCAGGCTCACGCTCACAACAGCAATAACCACATTTCAGTTCACACAAACATTATATTGAATGGTCTCTAAATTATTTGGTGCACTTCGACATTTTGCATCTTTGCTTGTCAGACACTGAATCAGTACGAGGCCATTGGGTCTTTATATTAACAATTTCCTCCATCACAATGACAGTTCAGTTAAACCTTCTTTCTTTACTGGTTTATTTAGCAGAAAGTCTACATTTTATTCCTAGTTTAGCATGTCTTAGAAGGTGATCTATGACTGTTTTTATCCACTGCCATCCACTAATCAGTTCTTCTGAAACTGATTTATTCTCTTACGTTGCTTAAAAATAAACCTTAAACTTTTGTATGTCCACTTGTATGCTGCTTAACTATAGCTTTTTTGTGAAGTTCTCAGCAATTTGCTAGAGAAGAAAAAAAAAAATCACAAAAACCAAGGGACACAGCAGAGAGGTCAAAGATGAAGCTGTTGAGGAGTTTTAAGCAGGGCTGCAATATCTCAAGCTTTAGACATCTTGCAGAGTTCAATCCGTCATCTAAAACTCAAAACAGTATGGCACAGTTGCAAACCTACTTAGACGAGGTTGTTCACCTGAACTGAAAGGATGAAAAAAAAATACAGAGCATTAAGCAGTGAATTAGCCAGAAAGACCATGGCCACTCTGAAGGAACCGCAGAGATCGACAACTCAGATGGGAGAATACGTTGGAAGAACAGTTTGTCTTTCACGCCACAAATCTTGCATTTGTTCAAGGAGGACAAAAAGCCATTTTTGAGAAAAATAAAATAAGCCCATAAGCTGTGAAAGGAACACAATAAGCATGTGGAAATAGGGGCTCCTGAACAATGAGACCAAAACTAAACTGTCAGGCCTCCTTTTTTAAAACAGAAATTGCTCATGGTGATGGCAGCATCATATCCAGGTAGTCCTAGTAAATAAGCCTTTTAGAAACTGCAGAAGACTTGACTGTTTTTATTTACAATGATATTTGTGGAGAAGTGATTTTGATTCACTTTCAACCTGTGTGTATAAATGCTTAAACCTTTGGAACATTCTACATTTTCTATGTTTTCAGAAAAGCAAAAATTTCTCCTCTATCTCTTTTGGCCTACTTTCATCACCACATATTGACATTTTTCAGTTTTTTTTTTTTTTTTTTGCTGGATTTACTCTCTCCACTGGAGAAATCTTTGCATCAGCATTCATCTTGTAATTCCAATCGGGGAATCCCCTACTTTTAAACTGAATAACTTATGATTTATTTTGAGTTTTCATATGTGGAGATGCATGTTGCACAGCTGTTCCACAGCGACCATATCGACCGGCGGTGCAATCAGTTCAATACATGAGAAGAGGACTGTAGGCTGGCTGCAAATTGGGAAAGTTGATATCAAATCCTCAAAGAAACCTTGAAGTTATCACTGCAACCCTTTCACCCAGGAAGCCTTGATTCTAAGAGGTGAAAAAGTAAACTTTAACTTTAAAGAAGAATCTAAAGGGAAACATGTTTTTTTTTGTTTGTTTTTTTTTAATTTAAGATTGCAGGAACATTTTTTGTTTCAGTACTGCTCCAAAGTTTAATGTTCTCTATATCGGAAATACAAGCTGTCATTCTTTTTGTGTCGCTGCATTTCTCCCTCCAGCTTTCATCTTACTGTCCTTCCAGGGTCTGTGAGTCTGTCCCTCCATCCTCTCGCTCAGAGACTTGCCACCAGCCAAAGGAAACCTGCTAACCGGCCTCGTGGCATTTCTGTGTCTGTACGCCTCACAGTTTGTCAGCAGGAACCTCTCCCTGTGTGGTTTCAGAGGGGGGGGGAAAAGAGGGAGATGAGAGGAGGAATAAACATTTTTTTTAAATAAATAAATGCAGGAGGGAGCCTTTTGAAGGGTGCATAGCTCCAGGGCTTTGTGGTGAATATTTAATGCAGGTATCACCAACACACAAGTTAAAAACACTTAAGAGTTGGGTTTCTGCCTCGACAGAGATGCTCCGTAAATCATTCAGTACGTGAGGTAAAAGAATATATGAAGGGATCAGTAATAATAATTGAAATATTCCTTTTTATTCTGATGTGTTCTTTTTTTTTTTCCCACTGATCCAGATTATCGCTTTGGGAGGCTGCCTTTGTATGACATTTCACAACCTTTTGATTACAGCGTTTGATAGGTCCATCAGGGAGAAGTACACATATCGATCAGATTATCAATATGTCTGATTCGGATGAGCTTAAAATAAATACCAAGAGCTGTGTGGATTTAAAAACAGAACAAGATGACGGTTGGTTTGCTCAGACACAAACATTCCTCTATATTGAGGTCCTGACAGTCTTTTGAAGACACCCTCTCACCATTCACCCAGAAGATATTTGACAAATACGTCTCACCCCCTCTCGGTAAACACCACATCTCTAGCCGTCACTCACACTTCACACACACAGGCAGCACAGCCAAAGACCAGCGCGTTTCTTCATGCAGTGTCTGTTCTTTGATCCTCGGAGCACAAGTTTGTTCAGAAGCTGCGTTTCTGTCCGTGTCCCTTTTGATCTCGTTGTCCTCCTCTCCCCCCCCACTTTTGTTTATCGAGCTGATAGATAAATCAAAGGCTGTCCCGATTCTTCACCCAGTTCCCACCTTTATTAAGATATCGGATTTGTTTTTTTTTGGGGGGGGGGTTCTGTTTAGCGAGACAGCATGCTGACTGACTTTAAGATTTCAAACAGTCTATTTTCAATGAAATGACATGGCAATGACCACATTTACAAAGACATCAAGTAGTATGTGATCTCAGACTTTTCAAGACCATTTTATTGTAACGATTTAATAAGTTTAACTCGGACAATTGTGACCCTTGGAATCAAAAACCCCAGATTTTTGCAAAACATTATATGGAACCACTTTTTCTGATTTCTGTCTTTCACTATGAGAAAAAAGGGCAGATTTAAAACTTGTTCTCTTCAACATATTACTAAGCACTAACGATGGCATTCTGTCCTTTTTGTCTTTTTTTGCCAAAGTGGTGTTGGCTTTCGTCTCCACCTCGAGCATCAACTGTTTCTAAGAGAGGGCAGAAGGCAACAGTTCTCTGTAGACTTGGATATTTGGACAAACTTACTCTTTCCATATTTTCCTGCCAGGTCCTGGTCCTAAAATAAGAGCCACTAAAGGACACATTACTTGTCCAGATGTGGTGTTGATGGGTTCCTCAGTCTTAGAATCAAATTCTTAGAAAGTTGAATTATTTAATGAAGGACAGAGATAAATCAACTCAAAACGAAAGGGAAATCTCCAAAAAAACACATTTAAGTAGCTTTCACATAAGATTAATTACTGTAACTTCAAATACGTAAGATATAGAATATTGTGAAAAAGTTTGTTCTGCTGAGTTGTAATGGAAACCCAGTAACTTGCTTTGATGGCAGCCCAACAATCTATGAATATGCTTCAACACACTGTGAACAACCGGCTTCTTTAGAAATTCTGTTTTGTGGCGAACTGTCCTGTGTCATTTTTAAAGACCCGCTAAGAATAAAATCTATCAAGAGAATTTACTGTCTATTTCAAACACAATCGTGGATAAGACAGGAAATGTAGAATTTTTTTTCCTCCTAATTTCTTATTAAATCTAAATCTAGGGTTAACGGTAAATGAAGTTTATAACCTTTTCGAGTCAAGTCCTGAAAATTGAAGCTCACAAACTTTTTAATCAGACAAAATGTCAATAAGTTTTAAGAACATTTGAAATCCTCCCTATGTGTTGCATGGCTCAAGCAAAAACTTTTCCTTTGATGTGTTCAGGAGATGACGACAAGAGGCGAAAAGGCCAAGTGCTGACCTTGCTGGCGGAGCAAGCCCTCAAATGTCTGGACTTTAAAGCCTCTTACATCCACTGTCAGGACCTCATGGGTGCAGGTGTGTAGTTAAAAGAACTGTGAGCCAGTGTGCATAGTTAAGGGGGGAAAATTTTTTTTTCTCTGTGCAAGAGGATTATTCATTAAACATTACTTTCAAAGTGATTTCAGCCTGTTTAGTTTGCAAAAATATCTCAGAGAGCTCTTTATAAACATTCAGTCAAATCAATTGAGGTTTTTATAGGTATAATTTATTGTGAGAAGGATGAATTATCTATAAATATGGCAAATGGTGTAATGGTTTGCAAGAGTAAAGGAAGCAAATTTCCTCTTGGAATTTGCAAAAACAGAAATCATTGAGCTGTGGTTTAAAGCTCACAGGAATCTCACTGAGCCACATGAATAATTTTAAAATGGGAGCTAGTTCAACTCTGGGTTATTTTGTGATGCAAGTTTTGAAAAAAAATGTTTTTTTTTCTTTTTTTAAAAAAACAGAGGATTTAGTTGTCTTTACATCTTTATCCAGCTCTTTGCCCCTCACGCTTACATAACATTTACTACCTCATTTTTTTGATTTTCTGTGTTGTTTTATTTTATACCAATTGTTAATTAATGGCTAAGTGACCAAATAATATGTTACTTCTTCTTACTGTTTCTGTCTTTATCACCAGTATATTTTATTGTTTAAGTGCTTAGCCATTTGAAGTAAATGAATAAAAATATATATTTTTAAAATTAACACAGAAAATTATACCTGTACTTCCAAGCAGTTTTTTTTAAAGAAATCTCAAGTGTGAATGGTACAGAGGACCAAAACCGACATAAGGAATAAAAGAAGAAATATATAAATAGAAAAAGAAATTGAGATATTTTTTCTTGCAGGGACAAGTCATTTTTCACTGGCAATAAAATTAAAAGTTGCTTGATTTATTTTTATGCTCAGGAGGGGGAAAAGAAAAACAAAACAAAAAGAACCAAGTATTAGTTTGACCAAATGATAATCTGTTTGGTTCACAGAGAATGTCAATTCTTAGTAGCAGTGAAAACCATAATTTACCGAGGCATAGATTAATTAGAAAAACCGAGTCTTCTTATCCTTCTGACTAACGGGAAAAGAGACGATGAAAACCAATCACACGCTAAGTGTGTGTTTGAAAGCAGAGTGTTTGTATAGTTGTCATTCAAACAGCAACACTTTACCTTGACATAGTTCTTGTAAGAAGCTTTAGTGAGTAACAGACATACATACTATCTTTCAGTTGATTTTCATCCAGGTGAGATTAGTTTTAGACTTAAATAAGTATTTCTGTCCAATTGATGGTTTGTATAGCTGGGTAATTTTTTTTTTCCCCCTATTGTCAGAGATTAATTTATATACTTAATGCTGAATTTGCATTATATCATAAAAAGTTAATCAAAATTTGAATGAAACTATAATATAGCCACCGTCTTACCTTACTCATTTTTTCTTAACTGTGGCTCTCGTCCTCTTTTCCCTCTTGTGTTTTCTCAGCTTACAGTCCGGCTTGGGAGGTGTGCAGTTTGCTCGGTCAGAGTGAGGGTTACAGAGACCTGGAGGCGCGACAAGAATTGTTAGCCTTTGCTTTGACGCACTGTCCCCCAGACAACATCCACGCCCTCCTTGCTGCCTCCAGTGACTTGCAGACTCAGGTTTGGACAATACGGCCTTTTTCCAAGTAAAAACTAGAATCAATTGCTATTCAGGATGCACAAAATGAGTCTTTCGAGTTTATTCCACAGCTCTTACCATACCTGTAAAAAAGCATTGCAAAAAAACAAAATACTAATTTTCCTTATTGATTTTATATTGCAGTACTTAAATACCCGTCTTGTTAAAAAAATAAATGTAACATACCCCATAACCATAAAGGTGTTTCATCTTTGAAATTTTTTCCTTTCAAAAGTTTTTTTTTTTTTTACAACTACCTTTCTGAATTGTTTGTCCTGATTCTATTTTTAGGTTTGTAAGGAAAAGTGCATGCTCGGTTAGCTTCAGGATAGACACCTGTCTTGGCCGTTCAACAGCCTTCACACTCCCAAGAAAGTCTTTCATTGCTGAAGCTGAAAGTACAGATCTGTACACTTCAAAACTTCTCCTGTTACTTCAGCCAACAGTCACAACGTTGCACAGCAGTGACCCAGTTACATCGGCAGCCATATATTCTCATATTGTCACGTTGACTTGACTATATTTGACAGATGATGCCTATGTTTTCTTTCTCTCTGCTCCTTTCATCCAGCCAGACGTTAGTCAGTGTGTCAGCTGTCCATAGGATCTTGTTCAAAGCTTGGCAGATGTTTCTGCATATGCAAATCAGATCCAGTGTTTCTCCTCTTCACTTTTACTAATAGTTTGACTTCTGATGAACAATTGCATGCATTTACATTCAGAAGGAGCAATTTTAGAAAAACACTTTTCCTCCTGAAACGTGTGTCTGGCTCACATAGATATTGCATTTTCTCTTTTTTCACACGTATTTCACAGATGAGTGATATAGGAGCGAAGGCTGTACGATATAATGGACAAAGGATTAAGCTGTGTGCTGAACAGGAGAGCTGACTCTAATGAAAAGTGTGGTTATGGTGTGGCCCTACTCCCGAACCTACGTGAACACATTAATACGGCATTTGTCTAGTTGATCATAATTTATCCTCCTTTAACAAGTGCAGCACATGTCTTTCCAAAGACGGGAATCAAGGAACACGTTAGACATTTTATTTTTTTTCCGCAAAAAAAAGAATTCTAACATTTCTTTTTTATGATACTCCTTTTCCTCACTGCAACTCAGAAATTGAGATGACAACCAGAATGTTATCATATATATACAAAGACAATAAAACCGTGTAACGTTAACTTCACGTTTCTTCAATAATTGACTTCTGTTACTTGTTTGTCCTGCAGTTGTTGTACCAGGCTGTTAATTATCAAATGAAGCCTGCCAATACAGAGAGTGGACAGGAAGTAGCTAAGGCCGACTATCTCAAGGTTTGTGTCTTTTATTCATTTAATGTGCTTTGCCTTACGTGATTATATGATCCTTGTCTAAGCTGGTTGCCTGAGTATACCCAGGCAGGCTATACCTTAAACCTTTGGTTCTGTTTATGTGTTTCCCTACTGCTCCATATTTGATGACTTGTAAACTTAATGCTAAGGTCTGCTCAGTTCCCTTGGTTAATTTATGCCCTTTCTTCTTCTCTTCAGCACTCCCTGCTTTATGATGCAGGGAGTGGGTGTTAATGTTTCATGACTTGAACTGCTTTTTGTGTGTGTGGGAGCTCATCTGAAGCTGCCTGTTGTCATTTTATTGTTATATTAATGCCACCAGATCTCACTTGTGTATATTTAAGACCTCTAGATGTCTGTTTGCGTTATTACATCTGTGTCTGTATGTATTTGTTTTCTCTTGTTTTTCAATTCCTTGACTCGCAATCCCTTGCCAAATTAAATATGGAGGAAGGATGCAAAATAATTTGGATCCAGCCCACTTGCAGTGTAAGTGGGGTTTTGAGAACATGTGGGCATGACATGGAAATGCGAAACCTGACATACAATTTGGCTGCATAGTTACAAACACCATTCAATTTGAAAAGAACAACATCTTCTTTTAAAGAGGTGTCTTTGTTGCGTTATTTTACATTCAGGATAGTTCAGAGTAGAGCTTTACTTTTCAATAATGCTGAAAATTTCCATTTCCAAAACAACCTGACCACATGTGAAGATGACATTGACAGGCTGTAAGTGTTTTTGCAATAAGTGGCAATATGTCTTTTACATCGTTGTGGAGGAATTTCAGGTTGTTTAATTCAACCGTGTCAGACAGTGTTGGAGAATAAATAGCCTGTTGAAGGTCATGACATTCAGGAACTGGACATGTGTTGATTTTGAAACGTTTTATCTGACTTTATGTTGTCAGATATATTCTATTCAAGTAATGTCTATTAATCAGTTTGGCCTGGGACATTTCTATTTTTATGCAATTTTTCTTTCAGCTTTTCACTTAATTCCACCTCCCATCTTAACAACATGTGACTAAAATCTCAACCTGCTGTGATTTTAGGTGTTGTTGCAATCAATAACATTATGTAAAAAAAAAAAAAAAAAATCTTGTTCTCTCATGCAGGGTCATTCTTACTTAAGTCCTTCACATTGCATTCATTACACTGTTAAATCTTTGAAACATCTTTGGTTTCTCTTGTCGCTTCTTGGCTGCAGGCTGGCACATCTAGAGACCTCCTTCAAAGGACTACAGCAAAGACCATGGAAGTGTTGACCACCACTGGACTGACAACCAAGGCAGTGCTGACAGCAGTCAGCGACCACCGTTGGGTGAAGGAGTCACTTAATTACCTCCGTCCACTCCAGGTACACACACATTACTAACCTAATGGGCCTGTATCATGAACAGTTTGGAGGTAAAGAAACACCATCGGTGTGAGGAACATGGAGAGTTATTTGATTCCTGAGGTTTCTCTCCTCTCTCCCACTTATTCTATGTTCATTAAAAACACCAAAAACCAAAGTCCATCTGTTGCATAATTAAGTGAAGCTCCTAAATATTTTATCATCTTGTGGTTAGTGGGCTGATAGGTGGTCACCCAGGTGGAGCACGATGCCATCTCTCTGGGTGGCTGGGGGAGTATGGTGCCCACATGGCCACTGGTTTCTTAAGAAAGAGAATATGCAAGGATATGAGCTTTGACAGAGCGAGATGACTGTGCTGTGGGCATGTGGTAAAAGTTTAATCATGTTTTGATGGCTCCTCAGGGTCGTGGATCTGGAGCCACCAACCAGGAAGGGGTGGATGAAAACTCCAACCTGGAGCACCAGGGCTGCAGTGCCTTTTATCAGGAGCTCATTGAGGATCCCTATGTAGACCCAGTGAGTGGCTTGGACCTGTATTTGCCATGGACCATTATTTTCTGCTGCGGGCCGTCTTCTTAAATTGTAAAAAAAGGCCTGAGTAGACTCCTAACTGAGGGTGTTTAATTTGATTTTTCCCTCTCCTCATGACTTATACATTCCTTCACAAACTGTGTCAAGACAAAATGAATATTGATTTCAGTCTAAGTAATTATAATGCCAAAAGCACTTTAGAAGCACTAACATCAGGGAAGCAGCATTTTTTTTAAGATGGGTATTATGTTAGTCAGCAAAATCCAAGATGACTTGAAAATAAAAAAGCTGAAATACACTGCATATATTAACCAGAAGAGGAAAAGTGAGTGGGAGAAAATCCATAAGAACAGAATGTTGAAATAAGGATTTATGGCAGCAGAAAAGTGCAGGAGTAAAAAGTAAAAAAAAAAAAGAATAGATTGACATTTATACTTAGAAAACAGTCGCCTTGGGTCATCTCTGTGCTTTTTACTCTCAAGACACAAATCATATGGATATGTAAAGGAGTGGACATAAGGCGAAACAGCAAAGGCCGATACATCTCCTCTCATGACACTTTAATAGGCCTCTCCAAATCCCTTCTTTCACTTCATCTCCACCGTTGATCCATCTTCCATCATCCATCTAACAATAATTGCTCCCTGCATCCATCTCTCTGTGCCTGATCAATAGGGTCATTTTTTTTTTTTTTTTTACATACAAGTTGCATTGGAGGATAAAAGAGATGAGGAAGAGGCTGATTGAAGGAAAAAGAGACAAATGCTCCGAGACAGAAAGATGAATGGAGTGTTAAAGACAGACGGGGAAACGTTCAGTGTCGAAGCGGTGGCTCTGAGGCAAGTGGGAGGAGGAACTTCATTGTTCACAACTGAGACACTTGAGAAACAACTTGCCACACAGCAATCCTATAAAGATATCATAAGGCCTCTTGGTTGGAAATCTTTGTTTGGCTCCAACATTCATTTGTCTACTTCCATCTCTCATCTGTCTTAACTCCATGTGAATGAAGATGCTCAGTCATCTTAATCACATCTCTCTATTTTTTTTATCTTATTTTCTAGTCTACCCATCTGCAAGAATGTACTTGCTATAACCCTAAGTACTTCATCACTCTCTCCTCTTCTGTCTCTTAGAGTCAAGATGTTTACTCATCCTACAAAGAAATGCCGCAGGAAAACTTTGCTGAGGTTTTGCTGAGGACGGGGAAGTTAGCTGAGGCTAAAACAGAAGGAAAAACCTTGTTTCCTGCGACAGAAGGTGAGCATGAAGGAACAATTAGTGACGGAGATAAAAAAGGTGAAACTGCTGATTTTGTTGTGATAAACTTGTTTGACCATTAACTCTTTCCATTTTCATGTAATTTCTTCCTTAGTCTAGAATGTCTGTATCTGATTAGTGACATCATTCTTGTTTATCCTGCCCAGCAGTTCTTCATTCTGAGTTTAAAGATCTTTATATTTTTATATGTGCATATTTATGCTTTCTTTATCTAATTAAGACGACATTCAACTTTGAATTGTGTAATGGCAAGGAGATTTTGAAGATAACTTTGTCCTGTTTACTCAGATTTTCTCATAATTTAAGTTGAAAAAAGCTGCTAAAGCCAACATAGCCCTTTGTGGAAAGCATTTGCCCCCGGGTTGTGGAAACACCATCATTCAAAGTAATTATTCAGTTGTTGCCGATAACTGACACCAAGTCTTAAAAATTGCCCTGTAGGACTTTCTGGCCTCTTAATCATCTTTTGTTATAACTCAGCCTCATTAGAGGATTTTAGAGTATGAACAGCCTACTTCAGACTTTGACTGTCCTTCCTTTTATTTTTGTTTTTGAAGTTTTCAGAGATTTTTTTTTTCCCCGTCTCTGAACACTCTGTTTGCAAATTTACGGTTCTTTGAGTGCCATATTTTGACACACATCCATCTATATTTCTTTCCACTCACAGTTAAGAATACTTTGAATCTCTATACCCAAGAGGTATGAATAACTCTTGGCTCAGCTATAGCTTAAGGTACTTTTCATGAATCTTGATGAGCTTAAATTTAAATCACATTGGTCCTAAATAGATCCTAAGCGCAACTTTGTGACATTTGCAGAATCTCTGGTTTTGAGAAGAAGATTTGTAGCTTGTGGGTAAACTGAGTCAGTATTGTTTAACTTGGACCATTTCTCAGTGCTTTGTCTCACAACTGAAGCGGTGTCATTTGCCAAGAGTACAGTGTTGTCAACCCCTTTTCCTCACACCCTGCCCTCCCTCACCTCATCCGTCTTGGCCACAGAGCCCATGTGTATCGGAGCTGGGAATAACATGGGAAGAATAGCCTCGTTCTGCTAATTAATGTATCCTCACGCGTCCCACGGCAACGGTAATTAATGACGGATCACTGCAGTGGTACCAGGGAGATAGCATCATGTCAAAACATCAAGGCCACGCCGTATGATGGATCACAGCTGCTCAACAAAATCAATGCAACAACAAAAGTAGAGAGCAAACATGTGTGTGTGTGTGCGCATAGCCATCTCTGGCCAAAGAGCATCGGTGCATTGGTATGCATCCACATATCTACCTTGCGTACACACAAACTTCCCCGTAACCAAACTAAGGCTCTCTTATGGTTGCCTCTGCCATTCATATGCGTATCTGCCTCCCTAAAAGTCACCTTCCCTTCGGAGTTGCTTGCGAAGCGCGACGTGTTGTGAAAGAGAAAAGCCACTCCGGACGCCGTCGTCCCCCGATAACAAGCTTCGATTAATGACTGGCGTATCTGTCCGCCGCGCCGGCTGTCCTTAAAAACAGACTAGGATGTGGCCTTTAAGAAAATAAATACACTGATTTTCCACCTGACCCCTGATAAGGTGGAGGTAATTAATGATGACAAGGGTGAGCATTGACTCAGCGGCATTGAGGTGCCAGCGCAAGTGCTTAACGTGAACAGACACAAAGATGCACAGTTTACATTGAACTACACTCTGAGCATTATGTGCTGCCACCGACTGGCCCTAATCACTTGTTTTTCCGCAATATGTGCCGCCGTCCTGCTACCCATGTGCCACATTTAGCTGATGTAGAAATCCAAATTGATGTGTGCAACAAACTAGCCTTGTCGTATGCCCGCTCTCCTCCATGAGGTCTCTTTATCAGTGTCCCCCTTCATCTCGCTCTAAAGCAGAAATATCTCCTGCTTTAAAGTCAGGGCTATCTACTTTGAGAGAGAGTGTGTGTGTGTTTAAGTGCGTGTACGTGTTTACCCCTCTGGTAATTCCTGTCCCGATGGTATCTGTAACTTTAGAGAGGCGTGTAATCAGCTCATTCTGAGGTGTAGCTCATTGAAACCCAGGGGGTAGGAGAGGAGGGAAGAGAAAAAAAAGAGTTAAGGGTGGAGGTGGGCTCACTTCCTAAGAGAGCTGTTATGGCTCTTTAAACTTCCTCCACCCCTGCTCACACACAGAGAAGTTTCAGCTGAACATATCAGCCATTGGATGCTTCTGTATGGGTGCACAGTGGTGTGCATTTTGTTCTTCAGAGCATGTGTCTTCCTTTACCCCTGAACCTGTCTCTCAGCCAGTGTCCATGCTCTGCTTTCTTCTGTCTGTTCCAGTTAGTCTGCTGCTCTTATCACGAGCACAGGCCTCTTCTTTTTTGTGGACTACAAAGTGATTTTGTCTGCTTCCCTCTGCTCACTCCCACCGTTTTCTGTGTGTTGGTGCAATTCAGTTAGTGAGTGATTAATTAAGTGTATTTGTGTGCTCAGAGTGGTTTGGGTTCATCTGCAGTGGTAAACCTGAAAAGTGTGTGTGATGTGTTTGTTTACTTTCTGATTTCGTCTTTGTCTTTTAGCCAGGCCAGGCAGTCTTTGTTTTCATTTTGACTTTGTAGAGCTGATAAATCCCATTTGCCAGGACTCGTTTGTACCGTTATGTACATTTAAGTGTTTCACTTCTAATTGAGCACCGGTTTTGTTGAGATCCTAATGAATGCAATCAGTCAGTATTTGAATTGTCTTATTGAGTGTTCATTGCAGTAACCTTTTGACCAAAAAAAGACTTCTGATCAACCTAATTCTGTAAAGATTTTAAACCCTAACCCTTATAAAATCTGATTTAATGATAAAAAAATTTGAACATTTGCATCATAAAAGAACCCTTTACCCTTTACGGATTCCTTTTGTTTTTTTGTTTGTTTTTCTTCATGTTTTAAAGTTTCAAATTATTAGAAAGAAGACAATAGATTACCCAACTATGTAATGTGTATTTGCCTCAATTTCATATCTTCTAAAATTTTTAGAAAGCATTCATCCCCTCATATCTGGTCTAAAACAAAGACGGCATTCGAGAAAATGAGCACCATCCCAAAAGTCGAATGAAGTGTCCTTAGTGTGATGTGTTGAAGCCATTAATGGTTAAATCCAATAGTGATACAGTGGAATGACAGGCCATTCCAGCCTGGCAACCTTCCAGTGTGGCTGAATTACAACCTTGCAAAAATGAGTTGGTCAAATTTTCTGCAGTGATGTAAAAATTAATTGCCAGTTATTTCAAGTGCATAATTAGCACAATCAGCTACGTTTTAGGGGAAGTAGGGCAGTTCAGAAGGAGAGGAGAGAATCCAAAATTTGACCAAAATGTTAAGGATGTTTCATATTTGCACTACAAGCCTTCCCCCCTTTTTTTTTTCTTTTTTTTGAAGGGCTAAGTTAGCGGTTCATTTAAAGTCTTTTCTTCTCCTTCTTTCCTTTCATCCCTCCATTCTATTCAGTTTTGCTGCAGCTGGCCAATGATGCATTTCCCAGAGACATGATGCTGGCTCTGTCCTACTTACTGGCCCTGCCTCAGGTATGCGCACACGGTCACACACATTACCTAGTGGCAATGGACATGCTTTTCTCTTTCAGTGCATTTGTACTTTTAACATTTCTGTTACCCATAAAGTGCATCCAAAGTAACAAACAGATCTTAATCAATAAAGACTAACATGAAATACAGAGACATGGTGCATGTTTGTGGCTTGCAAGTGTTTTATACTCTTGATTTTTTTTTTTTTGTGGTTTTGTTGCATTACATCCACAAACTTCAGCACTTTTTGTTGAAATATACCAACATGATGTAGCATACTGCTGAAAAATACATGATTTTTGAAGGTTTTTATTTTAAATTAAAGCCTGTTACCAGTGTTGTACATGTGTAATTTCCCTCATTGTGGCCCAAGTGTATCTTTACCAGCTTTGCAGATATAGAGGCCACAAGTTTTAATGCAATTTGGCTCAATTTGATTTAGCTATAGCTGCTTCTAAAAGAGATGAAAAACTTGTTTGGAAGAGAGTTCAGTGGTACTGTCATGTGTGAGGTATTTTAAAAGTGGGAATCAGATTATGGGACTAAATTTGATAATTTTTCTATACATTTTACAGTGAGGCTGGTAAAAATACCAAATGCTTTGACAGTTTTTTCCTTCTAACATATAGTCTCTAATACATGCAGGTGTTGGATGCCAACAAGTGTTTTGAGAAGCAGTGCCACTCTGCTCTGTCACTCCAGCTGGCTGCTTACTACTACTCCCTGCAGATCTACTCCCGCCTCGTGCCCTGCTTCAAGGACAAAAACCACACTCTCTATCAGGTTTGCATGTTCAAACGATGTTCAACGAACGGTGATAAAAGATGATGGTATGCTAATCATTTAATGCCAGTAGCTGTATCAAAGTGAAAAAAGTCTTACATCGTCTTAATGTTTTAATGAGGGTTCCTTTCTTGTCAAAATGCTGTAGTTCTAAAACACTTGGTCCTTTTAAAGTATAAACACTAAAGTTCATTTTGATTTTGCAAACATAGTGGTGGAGAGCCCTGGCTTAAAATATGGAGCTTGGAAAAAGGATGGATCTATGACTGATGGCTAGAGAGATGGATGGATGGTGACTGTATGGCTAGATGGGTGGATAAATGATCAATGAATGGATGACTCAATAACTAAAGAGAAAAATCGATTAACAAATGAATTGATGGATGAATAGCAGGTGTGCTGACTTGATGGATGGCTGAAAAAACAAACGCATGTACAAATGATAGAATGGATGGTTGTGATGGCTGGCAGACAGACGGGTGGATGGACAAATGGATGGATATGTGGCTCGGGGATGAAAACCTAGTGGGATCAGATGGGTAGTTGGATGCATAGATGACTAGATGAATAAATACATAGACTGATAGATGGAGTGAATGGTTGGATGAATGGTCCATCCATACATCCAGATGCATCCATGGACCAATCGATGGATGACTGAAAAGCCAGTGGAAGAAGTGGACGGATAACTAAAAACACAGATGGATGAATAACAAGAGGGATGATTTGATGGTTACAGGGACAGACCTCTGCAAAAAAAAAAAAAAAAAAAAAATTTTTTGGGGGAAAAAAAAATAATCTGGGTTTGCCCAATTTTCTTTTAA